TGGTGTCCCGTGCTGATCTGTTTTTGCCTGCTGACACAGTGGTATAACCTGAAAGAGTCTGCGGGCTTGAAGCTGAAACTGTTATGTAGCGAGTTGTAATGGTGTGTCCAGCTGGAGATTTCTGTGCCTGGAGCTGATACAGTCTTTGCTGCTGTTGCAGCAACCATTGGTTCTCTCTGTAAATACCAAAATGATTAATCTGAGACCTGTTCTGGGTCAATGATTTGCATTGAAGGGGCAAAAATAGAATAATGAGTGTGCTGTGTGAGAAAAACTGGAACAACAACAGTTTGTGTAGTGTGGAAATAAACTTTAATGATACTGATGGGAAACCAGCATTGCTGTGTGTCTTCTGGTGCCATTGGCCTCATCCCCATCCAGTCATATTAAGTAATGATCAACATGTCTTTGAACAGGATGAGTTACTGGAATCAGAAACTGGAGAAAGTCAAGACTGAAATGGAGAAACAGATCTTGGAGAAGCAAATCAAAGAAGTGGAGCGAGAAATAGAGGCAATTAAGTGAGAAATCTTCTTTTTATGTTCTTGCTGAAAATGAAAGTCTGTTCTTGGAGTTTTCCTCTTGACATTCCCACCTTCCTCGAGCACTTCTAGATGTGACATTTAGAGAAATCTTCATTTGTATTGGCTTGCAAAACTGAAGTGCTGTTCAAACTGCAGAGCTCTCCTCCCCACAGTTCTTTACTAAGAATCGTGTTCTTTCTTTCTCTTTGTACTTTCTGCTTTAGCCAACTCCCAGAAAGTGACTTGTTAGGAAACAGATTCGATGAGCATGACTGGGAGAAAATTTCAAACATCCACGTAAGTTGAGAGATCAAGTGTTTTGTTACTTCTGATACCTGTGTCCCTTCTCGTGACCATTACCTGACCTGGTCTCGTTGCATGTTACGTGATCTCAGCTCATTAAATTTGATGTGTTAATTCTGCAAAACTTAGCAATAAAATATAACTGGAATGCAGAATAGATTCCTTGTGTTGGTGTTCCTGTCTGTGTGGGCGTTTCAGTCCCAGCTATGAGACAAAACAGATTTTTGCTGTTTCTTTTAGTTTGATGGACAACGTAGTCCAGAAGAGCTGAAGAAGTTTTGGCAAAACTGGGAGCATCCAAGTATCAACAAAAAGGAATGGACTGAGGAGGAAATAGAGAGGCTAAAGAAGATAGCAGCTAACCGTGGTTATCTGGACTGGCAGGCTATAGCCCAGGAGCTGGGGGTAAGGTTCTGAGCTCAAACAGGAGGTGACAAGTCAATTCTGACTGAACTGTGCCTCATTATCTATGTTAATTCATTGTTAATGCTTTTCTTGGAAGCATCCAAGAACAGTACCAGGAAAGTTTGGTGCTTTAGCCTTTCCCTCTTGCTTTTTGTCCTCATAAATAACCAGTTACCTGCATATCTCTTTTCCTTGTATTAAGACAAACAGGACACCTTTCCAGTGCTTGCAGAAGTATCAAGTCTATAATAAAGATTTGAAAAGAAAAGAGTGGACCAAGAGTGAAGATCAGATGCTTTTGGAGCTTGTTCAAGAGATGAGAGTAGGAAGTCACATCCCATACAAGAAAAGTAAGTGACCCACAAGTGAAGACTTTCCATTTACCTGTTGGGTTTTTTCATTCTCCCAGGCTTATGTCTGTTGATGTTTCTGCACACTGGAGCACCCAGCCTGCTCTGATTCAAGGAATTAATGAAGTTTTATTCCCCATGAATGTTTCCATTCCCAGGATAGTCACAGTTCTGTGTTTTCACCTTAACATTCTGTGCAGAGCAGGGCACAACAATGCTGTGACTCACCTGGAACTACAGAGGTACAGACTTCTAAACCTCCCCACTGGGGAGGTGAGCGAAAGGGGATGGTTGAATTTTCCCTCCTCTTCCTTGGTGGGAGCAGTGGTATGTGCCTTTCCTGGGCCTGCCTGGAAGTTTCATTATATCAGCAAGAATTTAGTATCTCTTGGAACATTTATCCATCTTTGAAATTTGGTTGAAAGTGGCAGAGAGTTATTCCCAAGTACTGATGGCTGTGTGAGCTTTGGTTTTGTAGCAAAATCATCAGAGTTCTTCCCTAGAATGCCAGTATTAATTTGTGCCCAGCTATTTTGGCAGTTTTCAGTCCTGTGCTGTGCCCAGAAGCCTTTTCTGGGGGCTCAGTACTGCTGCTTCTCTTCCTCAGAGATGTGAGGGGCCATGTAAAAAGGGAGGAGTAGAGTTGGGAATAATGGCGAGGTATCTGGGGTCCTAAGTCCAAGCCCGTGAGTCTAACACCTGGTGTCTTGAACCTGTCAGATACTTATTGGAGCCAAACTTCCTAGTTCTCTGTTGTTGCAAGATGGATCTCGTGTGGATAATGCCATTACAAATAGTAACACTTTGGTGTGCACCATGCTCTTTCAGTTCTTGTTGTGTAACAGTTTAAGTATTTAAGCTCAGACTAAAATGCTGCTTATGACAACCCAGTGCTTGGAAATACCACATTTGTAAGTGAAGGAAGAAACATTGTTTGCATCAGACTTTAAAATACACTTTTGCATTTCTAGTTGCTTATTACATGGAAGGAAGAGATTCTGCTCAGCTGATTTACCGCTGGACGAAGAGCGTGGACCCCAGTTTGAAGAAGGGACCCTGGACACCAGAGGAAGATGCTGTAAGCTCTGTTCTCTGATGCCTAGAATTGCAGGGCAATTGGGAGGGAGAGACTGCTGCGGTGTTGCATGGCTGTATACACCTGAGCTTTGCCATAGACACAAAGGAGTCTAAAATGGACCAAGGAGGGCAGTTCACAAGTCAAGAGGCCTTAGAAGCTCCTGAACACATCTGTTCAGAGATTTATAACACAGTAGAAACAAATACAACTGCTTCTGTCTCAGGCCTATTAGGATTGCTGCTGCTGAGAATTTCCACTCTTGCTTTGTCCGCTTGACACAGATGCTGTTGGCTGCAGTTAAGAAGTATGGAGAGCGTGACTGGTACAAAATTCGGACAGAAGTGCCGGGGAGGAGCGATGCTCAGTGCAGAGACCGGTACGTTCCATGTAGCAACTGTGCTTTCAAGTTTATCACAGAGCCAAGGTGCAGCTTACTTTACAAGTATGTTTGATTTGTTTAAGCCAGTGTCACCTTGAGGGCTGTTTGGTAAAAGTGGTTGTGGTCTAAATTGTCCATATAACCCTGTATTTGTAGTTACAGAAGTTGGAACTGAGTTTAACACAGAGAACGGTGTGTTGTTACCTGTGGTGTGCTACTCCCTCAGTGGTGTTGCCAGTGGGTTAGCAGAAGTTGGGAAGGAGGTTGCTCAAAATAAGCAAAGGGGTCATTAAACATGAATGAGTGCATGTGGGGAGGGAAGGTTGTCATCTGTTGTTGTCTGTGGATCTGTGGCAATGATCTACTCAGCGACTGTAACAGAACACAAATAATGAGCTGCTGAGCAATTGTCAGCCTTGGACCCAGCTTCAGGAGCCTCAGAGTACAGTATGTCCTAATTTCAGTGACCCGTTTAACACCTGCCTCTTCTAGTTCTTAATCATGTGGCCTGATATTTTTGGGAACAAATTGATTATAAGCTGTGCTGTATTAAGGGAGTAGGGATGGACCCCTTAATAAAAGGAAAGATCTGACTAGTAAGGCTGGTTTTGTTCAGCTTGGAGTATGGAGTGATGATCAGAACTGCATAAACAGGATTGAATGTTACTTTAATGTTTTCATTTTGAAGGTACTTAAAAGCATTGCACTGTGATGTAAAGAAGGGCAAGTGGAGTTTGAAGGAAGAGGAGCAGCTAATTGAACTGGTTCAAAAGCATGGCCTGGGTAAGTGTTTCTGTGGCTTAATCTTCAGAAGTTGAGAGAAGTAAGTATTACTAAGGAATTTAAGTTTTCTTCTCTTATTTTAAGCCCTGCTTCTGATAGTAGCAGGCTCTGCATCATACTGATGATTGCAACCTCCCTTATATTGTGTGGTCTGTACCTGGAAATTCAGTTGTTGAGGGATTGTGTAGTACAGTGTTAGCCAGGTGTCAGAGCTGTGAGGAGGGTGAGTTCCCTTCTAAACCGTCCAAAGACAACTTTCATTAACAAATAGAAGCTTTTCAGCATTCAGTTTAAGCTTTCTTCTAGACACTTTTACTGCTGCAAGGGAGGGTGTAGCGTAGTTCTGCTGGGGTTTTCGTTATTGCTTCGTTTTCTACTAGTTTCTAACTTGAGCTGAATGTATAGTGCAAAGTCTGAAGAACACAACTGGGTATTAAGTTTTTGAGATCCATTCATATAGGAGCTCTGTCTCTTATACGAGGAAACGTATAAGGTTCTGCACTGAAAAGGCCTGTTGTTCAGTTTGTTGCACTAATAGGTGTGTTCTGCTCTGCATCCTTTCTAGGTCACTGGAGTAAAATAGCTTCCGAGTTGCCACATCGGACTGGCTCCCAGTGCCTGAGCAAGTGGAAACTCATGATTGGGTCTAAGGTATTGTGCAAATTCCTGCTATGTCACACTCCCATCTCTTTAATTAAGCTTCTCTAAACTTGCACTGGATTTAGTTAATCTTGGCAGAAGTAAAGCAGAGCTGTCCATTTGGAAGCTACACCTTATTGATAGGATACTGCTCCTTGAAACTTGTTAACTTTCTGATTTGGGAGATTTGCAAGTGAAGGGTGAACACTGGCTAAAACTTCTCTGTGCTTTTTCTCACCAAGAAGAAAAGATCTAGGCCAGCAAAGCGCCGACACGTGCGAGACAGTTCCAGCTCTTCAGAGACCAGCAGTGAAGACATAGAACTGGACTTGTCAGACAGTTCAGAGGAGGAGACGACGACAACCAAGGAGGAGCGTGCATTTCCCGACATTGATTTGTGGGTACCAACACAGACAAATACACTGGAGTCAAACAAAGGAAGATACCAGACTCCATCCCTTTTCTCTCCTGAGAGTGCAAAGACCAGTAGCAGTGAAGTTCCAAATGCAATGTGTGATGGAGACAAGGACAGAGTTGCCAATCGATCATCAGAGTTGAACACCCTCCTGAGGGGCATTGCACGTCCACATTCCACAGACATCGTTGTGAGGGATCCAGCAGAAGTAATAAGCAAGGTGAATCCTGGGATTCTCAGCCTGTTCTCGATGGGATTGGAGTTTAGATCAGAAGTGACTGGGAAGTGCAGTTGCTGCAATGAAGGGCAGGCGATGGCAGATCTTTTTCGTGCTTCTTGGCCGCTTTCTCACTGTGCCATCGGGGGGTGCTGTTGGAAACTGAGCTGTGAATTAAACACAAATATCTAGCACTGCGTCCTGTGCATTACCTAGAAAATCGCTGTGCTCTTTCTGCACGTGGGGTCACAGAAACAAACCTTTATTTAGGTCTTCGTGAGGCAGAATGGTCCAAGACTCGTGTGTCTCCACCCTGATGACTTAGGGAGTATTGGCTTAGAGTTTGGAAGAATTAACTTACACGTCTGTATCTGATTCTGAGTTGGTTTTCACCCCAGGTCAGGTACTGAAACCAACAGCAAACTCTTCTGGAATATTGTTGCAGAAGGATGCTCCTTAGCAAAATACTAAATGTCTAAATTGCTATTTAAGTTCATGTAAGCAATATTGTTCTGACTTATAGGCCGTTCTGGGGTTATGGTATGCGAGGGTTGTAAGTGCTTATCTGGTGTAATCAGCCATTAGTTTTGATTACAGCATTATTTTACTAGTAGAAGTTTAGGGAAGAGTCAGTGGCTTTTCCAAACCTCTCTCTTCCTGTTCCTTCCCTTGTCCTGTTAAGTTAAAAAATACAACGAGAATCATCCAATAAATCCTGACCCTCAGGGTGGGTTTTGTAGATACTTCATACAAAGGTTTTTATGACATAGACATTTGGTGTTGTGATGATGCATGAGGACTAAGAGATAAAGTCTGCACTTCAGGGCTGATTGCATTTAATAAGATACTTTGACCAGCAGGAGTGTTGAAAACCTCTGTGTATGGTCAGTGCAAGGAATCTTCTGAGATAACTTTCCCTCTTAACTCTTCTTGTCTGTTTTTGTATCAAGGCCGCCAGGTGTGGAAAGCAAGTGCTGCGGGTTACCCTGGAGAACGTGAGGAGGATATTGAGAAATAACACGTGCTTTCAGAGGAAACTTGTGAGTGCCTCTTCTGTCCTGTCTGCTCGGGTGACGTGAGCACTGCCGGGCTGTAGTTAGTGTGAGAGAATCGCGCATCTTCTTGCACTGTTGTAATCCCAAGAGGAAAAGCTCATAATTTTGTTTCAGAGCTGCCCTGTGAATAGTTTGTCCTGAGACTAATTTTGGTGGAACCTTCCTAACTAGAACTCTAACTGTGTATTTCTTCTTCATGCACAGCAATCCAAGATACTTAAACCTTCTGCTGCTGTTCTGACAAAAGTATCTGGAGTTAGTACTGATGGCCAGAAGCTTCCAGGGCTGCAGAACATCACAGAGAAAATGTGTCGTCAGGAAAGAGAGCGCTTGAGAAGAATGAACCTGGACAGAAAGCTGCTGATGGCAGTGACACCCTGGGTGGGCAACGTGCTGCTGCCCTGCACCTTGCAGACTGGGAAGATGGCTTTTCATCAGACAAAAGGTAGTGAGACTCAGCAGGGATAGTACTCTCCTGCTTCCTGGCATCCTGCAAAGGAGTGCCCAGCTGATTCTGATGTTGGGCTTCTTTTCTAGCTGACTATATTCGAGAGAAGATTAAATCCATCAATCTCACGAGCACGCCCCTGTTCGCGCTTTTCATTCAGGTAGGGTTTACTGTCTTAAGAGCATTACCTGCTTTCAAACAGGAGCAATCTTCTGTGTTTGATGTTGAAGTAAGTGGTTTATCTTGGTTTCTTAAATAATTTAATTACTGGATTAATCTGACCTCATGCTTGCAAATGATGTTTCTTAAATAAATCCTTCACCAAAATCTAATACTGTCAAGGCTTTTTCTGTAAGTGTAAAAATGCCCCCAGAATCTTGCACCTAAAGCCTCCCCCATCCATCTTGTTTTGTCTCTTGCCCTGTCAGAACATTCTTGTTCTCAGTCAAATTTTAATGAAGTTCTCATCTTGCAGCTCTTTCAGATTGATACCAACGGCTGTATGAAGATCATTCGTGAGAGGAGGCTGAGGCAGTTAGCGCTGCTTAGGGCTGATGCAAGGCCTCAGCAGGTATTGTACATGTTCTGTTTCTAAGCTTTTTCCCCTCTCAGATCTTGACTACAGTAGAGGTTTTTTGAAATGTGGGGCCAGCAGTGCTGTTTGTGCATGTGTGTTACCAGTTTGTGTGGCTTCAGAAGCATAATAAAGTGCTGGTTCTGTGGCTGCTTGTACAGGATGTTGGCAGATGTGGGTTTGATTCATGTCTGTGCTGTTTTAATGATCTTTAGATATCTCAGAAGTATAATTTAATATATTTTTCTTGGCAGGCTTCCCAAAATACGGACACTTCTCCAGGTACCTACCAGAACATTTGTTTTTATGATGTGCAAGAACTTTCCCTTAATCCATCACCATTACATTAATGACCAGTTAAACTGAAGGAGACCTTTTGGAACAAAACCACATAGCTATGCTCATTTTCCCTAGCTCTTGGATCTTTCTGTTACTGACTGAATATGTTGCCCTTTGGTAAGGACTAGGCTGGGGGACCAGTGTCAATGGGCCACCAGGTCTGTGGGCCATCACTGTTAGGCTTTTCTCCAGCGCTGTACTGGAGTCAAGGTGCTGGCACCGACCAGAACCCCAGTTTGTTGTTGTCACCCTGGCTGGGGTGCATTGCCCATGTAGTGCTGAGCAGTACAATTCCTTGGGTGCAGTGTTAAGGTGCAATCCTGTCCCATCTGTGATTTCTGAGGAAAGTTACATCATTACTGAACTAGTGGTGAGCTTGCTGCTGCATCGCATTTAATCTGAAGGATGTCAGGATGGGGCTTGATCAAATCAACACTATAGTGTTGTAGGAACTTTCACAAACAGGAATTCTGCTGTTTCCTGTGCAGGGTATTGATGCTCAGTAGCTAAGGAATGCCTTTTGAAAATCCTGTTCAATCTTTTTCCTTTTATTGCTTCATTTCCCCTCCTCTGCAGGCAGCTCATCACAGTCTTGTGTTCAGAGGAACTCCCGAAGGGGCATCCCGAGGAATGCTGTGAGGAAACCTCTTACCTTAAAAGCAAGGGAGACTTCTGCTGCTGTCTTTGAGAGCAGCACCTCAGCCACGCAGGGAGCTCTTCCAGCCCAAGTGCAAAGGCATAAGCCTAAAACTGTCTCGGAACTGCTGAGGGAGAAGCGGCTCAGAGAGTCCCGGGCTAAGAAGGCTGTGCAGAGGACAGTGCTTGTTGCCCCACAGATGCTGGTTTCAGCACCTCTGATAATCCAGCACTCACCACAGCAGATCATTCCTTCTGCACAAGCGGGGAGCAAACCTGCAGCAGTTGGTTGTACCAACAACCAAGTACAGTGCTCAGCAGCTCCACTGCCAGCGTTTACTTCTGTTACAGGTTCAACTTGTACCGCTGTTGTGCTTGAGAACCATTCCTCATCAGTGCCGGGAACTGGGGAAAGCCCTGGTTGCTCACAAGGAACAGAACTACAGTCCAATAAGGAACTAAAAGAGCAAGCTTTGGAAAGTAGCCTTGGAGGGGTTTTTCTAGGCATGAATCCAGCTGCAGCAGAGAAGGCCCCAAATCAGGGAGTCTGCAATGGTCAGGTCCTAGCTGGTAGCTCAGCTTCAGTAGTGTTGCAAAACCAAGCTTTTGTGCCACATCAGATCACAGTGCTGCCTGTTGGCATTGAGTCTGGCACCAACAAATTGCCTCTTTCCACACCAGTTACCTGTGAGCTGAATAGTACTGTGCCACAACAGACGCCTGTGAATCTCTTGCCAACTGTTGTAACCCCACAGACTGGTTCTCATCTGATTCCCAACAGCATACTGCCTTTCACATGGGTCATAACGCCCCAGGCTTTGCTTCCCACTGCTGTACAGACTGTGGTGGGGCTTCCCCAAGGACTGCCAGCTGCTGCTCTGAGAAATGCATGTCAGGCAACCGTGGTTTCCAGTGGCAATGTCTCTAGCTTAGGAGTGCCTCCTGTACCAGCTGGAGCAGATACACCTCACCCCAGCAATGCAGAGACAAAAGCACCAAGTGCCCAGGCAGCAGAAGGAGCATCTTTGGGAAAGGATGGTGACCATTCCACAATTATCTTGCCTGTGACCTCAGTGAGTCCTGGAAGCACCACAGACAGTGTTTCTCCTGCAACGCCTGCATGTTCAGAGGGCTTCTCCAAGGCTTCAGACTCCTCTGCAGCTCAGACTGCTCCTCCACCTGATGCCCCAGCCCTGCATACTGTGCTGCTGCCCCAGACACAGCAACCCACAGGCACTCAGGGAGCTGATTCCCAGCGTGTGTCGAGTCTTGCTAGTTTGGGAAAGAGCCATGATGCCATTACAACAAATGGATCATCATCCAATGCAGGCATCATCACGAAAGGGATTGTGCTCCAGGCAGGAGTTCCTCATAACGATGCCCCAAGGAACTCTGCTGCACAAGCATTGAAAACCAGGCCTATTGCCTCCAAGCCCCCGGCTGTGCAGTGTGCTGACAGTGCAGCCCAGCCAACCACTTCCAGGGCAGAAAAGACTGTCCTTGACTCAGGCCTGATTTCCCTTGAAGACGGGAGGCTGGTGAAGGAATGGCTGAGTGGGAAACAGGGTGTCCAGGTACCATCACTGCAGACCAGGCTGCCTTATTTGCCACCTTTTCTGTGCAACTTAAGAACCCTTGCGAATCTACTCCTGCAGAAAACAGCTCTGGAAGAGCAAGCAGCATCTCTTCTGCCTCCTGGCTCCAGTGGGGATGAGGGCACTGGGGTTGACTTGCACGCTGTTGGAGAACTGGTGCAGCAGAAACTCGGTGATAACCCTGCTTACCTCCTACTGAAAGCCAGATTCCTGGCAGCCTTCACACTCCCAGCTGTACTAGCAAATCTGCCTCCTCCAAAAGTGGCAACGACTCTGTCAGCCAGCAGGAAGCAATATGAAGAGAGTGACGAAGAGGAGTGGCAGAGTGAGAAGGAAGTGTCTGAGGAAGAGAGTTGTGGGAATGAATTAAAAGGAGTACAGTTGGATTGGACAGTTGGTGATGAGCCTGGAGACAAAGATGCTGATCTACTAAATCAGGTAAGATTCAGAGCTTTCCCATAGTAAAAGCCAGCAGTAAAATACCTTTCTGTCCTGGCTCTGGCTTTTGGGCCTGGGTCACGTGCAGTGTAGTTTGAACTGTGAGCAGTTGGTCTAACACTCTCAGCAGTTCTTCACTGCCCGATAGCCCTACTGCCAACCTCAGTCCTGTGTCATCCTTCACCAGGCTCCCTCCCACTCCTGCTATTAATGATACGTCCAGGTTGTCCTGGTGTTTTTCAGGGAAAAATCTGTGGTAGGGGTATAATTCATGAGAGGTGAGAAGTTTGTGTTGTCTGGGACACTGTCTGACTCCAGCAGTGAAAGCTAAAGCATCGCTTGTGGCAGGCACAATGAGTGGCTGTGCCCAGACAGAAACTGCAGCAGGGATTGCTCTAGTTCGGTAGCTGAAGCAAGAAGAAATGCCAGTGTTGGCTGAAAGTTTCACTCGGAAGTCTTTGGGGTGTTTTGTGCTTGCTCAGACATTGGTAATAGGATGTTGTTGTCCCCATGCTTCATTTGGAAGGTAAACGGAAGATTGTTTTGGAAACTTTGCTGAGCTCCCTAAATGAAAAGATGGCTGAAGGGGTTCTGTTGTGATGCTGGTTCTCGTGGTGTTCACAGTCTGCTTATGTTGCAGGGCAGGGGAGCTGACAAGGATGCTGCACAGTCTGCCTTGGACTCCTGCACTGATGCAGCTGATGCCAGTGCTCCTCGAATCAGGAGAAGTACCCGCTTCAGGAAGAGGAGAAGGATGTGAGAAGGAAATGTGTTAGTAGCTACTCAGTGAATCTTGTGTTTCTTGCCTGAGAAGAGAACCTGAAATGCACGTGTCTGTGGTACAGTTAGACAATGAATCGTGGCCCTAGGAAAGGGCTGACATTAGCTTGACTTTTCTTCCTGTAGGACACAGAGTTCTAGGATCACCCATTAATCACAGACTAAGGCCGATGCTTTTTGGGGAGGGAAAGCTGCTGAGAATGTCTGCGTGATAAAATTCTGTACAAAAGTTGGGGAGTTCAAACATCCTGGTAGTATGGTACCTGTACCTATGTAACAGGACAGCTTCTGTAGGGTACAAGTGTGCGCTGCTGAATATCTGTTGAGGCTTTTGGTGAAACAGACTGAATGCACATGAACAGGGTTTGATTCATGTGGTTATCAGGTGAGACTGTTTGGGTTTGTTCTTTAAAATTGCTTTTAAATACTGCAGAAGGGCAGATTCCCTATAGAAATGCTGTGACTAATAGGAGTTGTTTGTTCTTTGTTGCAGGAGTCACTTGAACGAGGTCTGCCTTCCTACATGGCAGTAGGAGATGCTCTTTGCACTATTCACTTCTAACACTCCCACAACAGCCTGACTAGATGGACCTGGGGAAGAGAGGAAAAAGGCTGGACTGGTTTTCCCATTGCCTAAAGTCTGCATCTTTAGATAAGGTGCAAAGACTGAAGGAAGTCTTTCCAGCATAGACCATTCTGTTCTCTTTCAACTTAGCACCTGCCATAGATGCTGGGGAAAAGATTGCTGGAGATCTGGGAAAACCAGCAATCATGGTTATTTATTTCCTTTTTGTGTCAGCCCCTATTTATGTGAATGTTTATCCATGTTCAGAATACGTTGTTCACTGGGTGGTTTTTTAGTGCTGTTACAGTGGTTTTGCTTGATAGCTGACTGGCTGCATACTGCTGAATAAGCAGCAGATTAATTTTGTATCAAAATGAGCCTTGAGTATTTGTTGAAATACAGATGTTTTATTTTTCTCAGTTAAAAATTACTGATGTATTCTGTGTGGGTTTTTTTCTGGTAAATTGTGCTTTTAGTAGTGTGTGTTTGTGTGTGATTGCTAATGAGAAAAATGAAGCTTGCAAGCTGCATGAAAGCCAGGGAGGATGTGGAAAATGAATATGCATGTGGCTAGAACTGCAGGGTTGAACTAGGCTTGGATTCTGTCTTGATCCCTCAGCCTGCCCCATACACACATGAGCAAATCATTTCAAACCTTGTTTCTTCATTCACAAGCCAGCAATTTGTATCTTGCAGAGAGGTGCAAGGCTAGCTGAGGCAAAGCTCATCAGATCTAGTGCTGCAGAAAGTGCTGCTTTGTTCCACTGCACTGAGCTTCCCCAGAGCACGGGCAGGACAGAGCACTGTGAGTTGCAACTCTTCTACAAGGGTGCTTCAGGCCAGGGGGACAGTGGGTACCAGTGGTGCTGTAATTGGGTGTCAAGACATTATGGAGCAAAAGGAATGATGTTGAAATGCTTTCCTCCTGCAGTGTGCTCTGTTTTCCATAAGCCAGTATAGATGACACTTCTTGCAAGAAATTCAGATGTGGCAGGAGCTCTGCCATGCAGCTGTGTGTGCTGTTCACCACAGGGCTGTTACCGTGAGGCACTGGTACTAAATGTGATCTGTGCTCTAAATGATTGTTCTCTTTTGCAAATGCTGCTCAAGAGATGTCCTTGTAATCCTACTGCTTGTGGAAACGCTTTGTGTAGCTATAAGCAGCAGCTGGTTTTGTTCTTTTTCAGGATTAAATTGATCTGTTCAGTAGAACAAATACTCTGGAGGCTGGATTGGTCAGTTAACAGACATTCTGATTACCTTCAGCAAGGGCAGAGCTAAGAGAGCTGCTGTATCTTTTTTTAGAGTGAAGCTAATTTAATGCCTAACAAGAAGCACAGGCATAAAGAATCTCGGAGCATCTCTGCCCCACTCCTAATGATAACATGGAGAAACTCTCCAGAAACTTAGAAAGCAGAACAAAGAGTAGAGTGGGAAGCTAATGGGAAAATGTGTCATGCTGCCATGGTATCGGAGTGTATGTTCTCAAGACTTCTTTAAAACAGACTGTTAGTGAGTTCTTGTTGCAGCTACAGTTCTAGGACTGTGGGAAGGCGGAGAGGCAGTCAAAGGTATGATGTTGATGCTTTAACATCATCACAATGCTGCTTGCTGTGCTGCTCCTTTAATTACTCTTAGAGCCACAGCCTGTAATTTGGGAATCGTGGGTTATGTTCCTTGCTTTGCAAAGACTTGACTCTCTTTCACTAAAACTACTGAGTTGTCATCATTATGTTTGAAGCTTAAGGACATCCAAAATTAGAGGCATCATTATAGAAATCATCCTTTTCATCTGAACTCTAAACCAAGAGAGAATTGTTGCTGTCACCTGCTTTCCTGTATAAAGATGTTATGTGAACAGCTGAAAGGCCATTTGAAGAGCCTCTTTCTTCTGTGGCTTATTTTGTCCCCTGAAATCAGCTGATCTGTGACCTTCACTCTCTCTAGTCTTCTTGACCATGACACAAAGAAACTTTCTGGGCCCTTGCTGGTACTTCAGTGCTACAGACGGGAAAGAAAGCCAGCACGAACCTACGATCACTGCGTATGTAATGCTGCTAACTTGCAGTGCCACTCCTCCCCCATCACCCATTCTGACTTCCCCTTTTGCTTCTTTTCCTCTCTTCTCCCCTCTTCCCTTTCCCCTCTCACGGTATAGCTGAGTAGTTTCCCCTTTTCTCTTTTCTCAAACCAGTTTTGCTCCTGGAATGATCTTTGCTCTAGCCAGAATATAGAGGGAAGCTGCATCCAAGACAAGTTTTCTCAGAGACAGGACACAGGCAAGTGTTACTAGACCAGGAGAGGAAACAAGGAGGCTTGTTTGACTGCACAGGCTCAGGTTGGTCCATGTAATGCAGAATGCTTTATATTAACAGGGGAAAAACGTTTTATTTTACAGCTCTGAGGTAAGGATGTGGTGTTTATCAACAGGGGAATGCAATTCTTGTAATCTGCTGGGGCTGGGTTGATGTCAGGCAGAGCAACTTCTCCGTAAGTCAGTCCAGCTCACCAAAGTTAACTGACGACGTGATGTGTACCAAGTATGTGCTGAAGGTGTTTGGAGTCTTTCTCTGTGCTGGAGCAGAAAAGCAACGAAGGTTTGAGGTGAAGCTGGAGCGAGATGCAGTGTGATGTGTGTGGCATCTGTTCCCTGCACAATTCCAGGCTGAGAAGTAGTAGTTTTTTCTGACCCTGTGGTAAACAGCAGGCTCTTGTTGGGGAAGCAGGTAACTAGTAACCTCAGAGTACAGCTGATGCAGGGGAGCACCGGAGCGAGCTCCCCCCAAACACACACCCAGAAGTGGTCTTCATCAGCAGGGATGCTGCTGTGGCCTCTTGGTGTGCCTGTGTGGTTGTGAGCATAAACTCTTGAAGCTGCACAGATGGAATCTGAGGTGGGTGTGAGAGGCAGCTGACCTGGTTTCCTAGTACACGATTTGCACCTCTGTTCACATTGTGAATCCTGTCCAGCTGTGTTTTCCCCTTTGGTGCACATGGATAAAGTACAGCCTGCAGGAAACCAGCTTTTGTATGGCTGCAACTGGATGCAGTGAAGGCTGTTTCCACGGGGGTTTTCAGAGTCTTGTGGGTGTTAGATTTAGTGACTGCGTGGTCAGACAGAGTACAGGGATCTCTCAAATGCTGGCAGGTAGAAGAGTGAACTTTCTTCTCTTGGAAGGAAGCTAATTAGGACTTTAAAGATGTTCTCACTTCTTCAGAGAATGCTTAGTTTCAAATTGGAAGGTTGTGGTTTGCTGTCAGGTTATCCTGTGTTGTGGTCCACCTTTTCTGTATTGTTCATGGGAACACTTCTGTTTTCTCAGTATTTCACACTAGCTCTCCTTCACATGTGTATCAGCAGCCCTGGCACAGCTCCTCATACCTCCACTCTGTGGTACCACAGTTCTTTCTGTGATGTGACTGTAGCATATCACTGTGTTCTGCAGGTGGTTTGCAAGCACTGAGCTATAGACCACATGGGAGATGTGCTCCTCTATCTGGAAGATGCTTTCCCATTCTCAGTCTGTTAACATACTTGGTTCCACCATCACTGCTCCCACTGCTCCAGGAGCCTCAGAGTCTGCTTGTTTTGTTTTTCAAGGCAGGACCACACTGCTCACTAGTGCTTCTCACTCCCCAGCATGTTGGAAGAAGATAAGGATGAGACATGTTGGAATAACCTGGAGAACTTCCGGGTGAAGCTGATCTCAGTGATAGATCCTGCCCGTATAACACCTTATCTTCGGCAGTGCAAAGTGATCAGCCACGATGATGAGGAGCAAGTTCTTAATGACCCCAGCCTGGTCATGCGCAAGCGGAAGGCAGGTGGGTCAAGTGCAGCCTTTGGCTCCATGGATCAGCAGGGGAACATAAAGTGCTCTTCTGAGAGCTGCTCTTCGCACCCACTGTGCAAAGGTACAAGGAGGAGCTATGTGCAAAGGCTGGGTTTGAACTGTTCATTCACAGTTAAAATACTTTTGTTTATTTACTGGGCACTTGGCTTAGGGCTGTCTGGGGGATCTGATCCCAGGAACTTCAATCTGCATGTGGAGAAAGTGAAGCAGTTTGTTGTTAATTTAGAAATAGGTAAAGAGATAAATAACTGAATAGAATATCCTGTTGCAATTATTTCAGGTGTTCTTCTGGACATTCTGCAGCGAACGGGACACAAGGGCTTTGAGGCGTTTCTGGAGAGTCTTGAGCTTTATTATCCACAACTGTATAAGAAAGTAACTGGCAAGGAACCCAGCAGGGTGTTCTCTATGATTATAGGTAATGCTGTGTTCTGAAAAAACAGCTCTTCATTGCGTGGTGGTGTGCAAATTAGGGGGGGATTCACCTCCACTTTTGCTGCTCCTCAGCTCCAGTGAGCAGTCAGGAGCGTTCCCTATGTGCTTCAGAAGGGTTCTGGCAGGAATAATGTCACAGGGTGGAGGAGGGAGCAGAAGGTTCAGTTCTTCCTTCTGCCTGTTCTGTCAGTGACATTGATGTAGGAATGCGCAGAGCAGGGGGAACAGTGTGGGTATTTTGATCACTTGTGTCTTCAGGGTTTGCATGGCTGTGTGTGGCATGTGGTGATCCCGAGCTGCAGTGGCAAGTGGGTGGGAGCCTGTGCTCTGTGTGTGTGTCTGGGGACAGCCAGGACAGCAGAGCTGACACCTGCCCCCCAAACAGACACCGCTGGGGAATCGGGCCTGAGCCAGCTCCTCATGAATGAGATCATGAAGCTGCAGAGCATGGTGCAGGAGGAGCGGCGGAAGGCGCAGGAGCTCACCGTGTGGCTGCACACCAAAGAGGACACCATCAGGGAGCTGTGGGTGAGGGACAGCCTGCTCCGCAAGCACCAGGAGCGGGCACAGAAGATGAAGGAAGAGAGGGACAGCCTGAGCAAGGAGCTGCGGAAGTGCAAGGACGAGAACTACAGCCTGGCAATGAGCTATGCCAGACAGAGTGAGGAGAAGAGCACTGCCCTCATGAAGAACCGGGACCTGATCCTAGAGGTCAGTCAGCCTTTTCCCAAGCTTCCCCTTTGACTGATCCCTGGAAGGCTGTGCTGTGCTGTGCACCAGACTGTGCCCAGCATGGTCTGGACCAGTCCAGACTGTGCATCTTCTCTCAAAGGTGGCATATCTTGGTGGTTCCTAGCTCAGCCCTGTAGGCCCACGTGCTACAAGCTGTGGTGTGAAGAGTTAAGTCTTTCCCTCATTCCAGACTGTGTTCTCTCACAGAAGCAATACAGGGACAACACACATCTATTAGCACACAGGCAGGACTCTCCAGAGCACCAGACTTCTGAGGAAAACAGAGCTGGGGAGAAACGTGTCCCTTGTTTCTTTGGGGAATGGAGTGAGAACTGGTTTTTCAGGTTGGAATTTTCTCCTTGTTACTGATGAGCTCTTGAACCTTCTTGCAGATCGACCACTTGAAGCACAGCCTCATGAAGGCTGAAGATGACTGCAAACTGGAGCGTAAGCACACAATGAAACTGAAGCACGCCATAGAGCAGCGTCCAAGCCATGAGGTGATGTGGGAGATCCAGCAGGAGAAGGAGTTGCTCTTGGCCAAGAATCAGGAGCTGGAGAACACTCTCCAGGTTGGTGGCAGGGGTTGAATGTGGACTCCTGAGACATTGTTATCTGTAGCAGCCAGGCCAGTGATGAGGCTGCACTGCAGATTGTGTGGGTCAGCTTGTTCTCCCAAGTGAAATAGCGCACTTGGGACTGTGGGGACAGAGTTAACGCGGAGTTCGATGGTTGCTGTACTTCCTTTGTCCAGGAGGTTGCCAGGGAACAGAACTTGGAGAAGAGCCTCTCCAAGGAGACTCTGGAGAATGACTGTAGCCAAATCCTAGAAGGACGCCGGGAGCTGTTGAACACCATCTACAGCCTTCGCAAGGAGCTGCGGCGAGCCGAGGTGCTCCAAGACAAAGTATGTGATGCCGTGCAAATCCCTGCTGAGGGGCAGTGGGTGAGACAGGCAGGTGAAGCACCTGCAATGTGGAGCAGAGGAGCTGCTCAGCAGCAATCCTCACTGCTCCTACTCCTCACTTACAGTTTGAAAAAAGACACGCTAATACTTTAGCATTCAGTGTCTGTGGCATTAACTGTTCACAGTCCCTGCCTCAGCCTGGGTGATGGGAGCTTTAATCATGGCTGATAGCTCAGGAACATGTAAACCCATCATGTCAACAGACCTCCTAGTCGGGTTGACCAACCTTCTGGTTCACCCTGCTCCAACGAGCTGAACTGCTCCAACTGGAGCTGAACTGCTCCAACTGGCTGAACTTTGACATGGCATGGAGGAGGTCTGGCCACAGCAATCAGTGGCACAGAGCAGACCTGGGGGGAGTCTAGCTCAGGCTCTGCCCAGAAGCAGGGTGCTCATGACCTTGTCTCAGCAGTATGCAGAGGAAAAGGAGATGCTTGAACTCCAGTGCACGTCTCTGAGGAAGGACTCCCAGATGTATAGAAAACGGATTGAAGCTGTCTTGAAGCAGATGGAGGAAGTGGCTTCAGAAAGAGATCAGGTGATAAAACATTCATCCCTCTTGGAGCTGCTGCTAATCCCTGCTTTGCTGCTTGAAGCGGGCAGATACTGTAACCCTGAATGTACTCGTGTGACATGTTGTCCCTTCCACCAGGCACTCCTGACCCGAGAACAGTTCTATGTGCAGTACTCCAAGAACCTGGTCGAGAGGGACACTTACCGCAAGCAGATCCGGGAGCTGGGGGAGCGCTGTGACGAAATGCAGCTGCAGCTCTTCCAAAAGGAGAGTCAGTTACTGGCCGTGGAAGCCAAGCTGAAAAGGCTGCAGCTGGAGTTACCCACACCGGTGTGCCTGCGGGGTTGTCGTCATGATGGGATGGGAAGGGGAGTATGGGGACAGAGTGTGGCTGCTTGGAGGCCTTTGCCCTTGACCGGTTCAGGTTCAGCTGCATGGGTAACTATTGCCATGCAAGGGTTGAGTTTAGAATAAAGGAAGACATGATGGTTCCTATAACCTCATGCTAGTTCCTAGCATGGATAAGCTGGACTCATGCAAGCAGAGGCCTTCTGTGTTTGCAGCATATCCAAAAATGATGAGGGGATCCTCAACCACCAAAGAGTGATGTCTATTTAGAGATGGTGTATGAGCAATTTGGATGAATTTGGGAGCAGGGTGTAAGGGTGTTAAGGTTTCTGGAACTAAATGAGATGTGCAGGGGGCTTAATTAGTGTGGTATCTTGTGTACTATCTCCAAGTGATCAGACAGGTGTGTAGGAGGGAGGAAGTTCACACTTCTCTGTTTTCTGGAGCTTCTGATCTCCTGTATATTCTCTTACTGCCACTTCCTTGCTTATAAGGAATGATTCATTTATACTGGTTTTATTTCAGACCTCTGACCTGGATGATGCCTCCTCCAGAGATTCCCAGGAAGTGAGTACGGTGCCTTGTTTACCTTTTACTTCTGGGATGGGTCTGGCAGCCAGAAGTATCAATAAGGCCAAAGGAATGAGATTTATTCATGGAGGATAAATCCACGAGTAAATCTGTAAACTTCTGGCTCTCTCTGCTGTGTTGCTGACAGTAAAATGCACTAGGGAAAGGTCAGTTTTATGTGTCCTGTTTCTTATGTTCCTCCATCTGTTCCTAGCTACAGTGTGAGACACAATAAGGGGCAGTTCTCATGTTCTTGCTTTGTTTCTGTCCCACAGCTTACTCTTCACGGTCACCTAGATGAAGACACACAGCCAGCTAAAAGTAAGGCTTTTTCTTGGGAGACATAGAGTAGAATTCCTGAGAGGATGGTCCAGGGTCTCAAAGGGACAGGAGAAGCCATTCCTGGGTTTTTTTTTTAGTGAGGAATAAGTAATCTGACCTGGGGACTTGGTTTGTGAGGGATGCTTCTCAGTGGGATGTGCTTGACACTCTAAGTAAGACCTCTGTGAGATGGCTCAGAACAGGTACCCATAAATCAAGTCATTCTCCTGTACCACCATCCTTCTCACCTGTCAAAAGGAGAACACTGGGAAGAGTAAATGCTTGTAAAGCTTTTTTGAGAGAAAAAGCTTTGCAGTCTGGTTTTTTACTACATGGTCTCTAAAAGGGTCCCTGCTACAGCTGCACGACCTGGGAAAAGTGGTATCATTAGACCATCTTAGCACCTCAAGTCTTTCTTTTTGAGGTAATCAGTTTATTGAATTTGTCCAGGAAAATTACCTGGTGCCTTTGGGTAATAGCTCCTGGGTGCCTTCCCTCCCCCTGTCCTCTTGCAATTGTGGCAGAGCTGAGAACAGAACAAACCTCCTTCCACTTCTGCTGGACCATGTGGCATTCTCCAGGAATTTTTCCCTCCCCTCTTCCCTTTTATGTTGCAGGCTATTTTCACAAAAGCAGAACCAAGTAGTTAATGCTGTCACTGGCTCTGTTTCTGTGGCATCCCCAGTGGAAATGATTCAGCAGTGTGGAAAGGAGTTAATAGGCTCCTCTAAGAACTTGAAAATCTCTTTCAAAACATGTTGAGCAAGGAGGGAAACTGGCACAGTAGAAGCAGCTTTCTGTTTTGATCTCCTGGGAGATCTAAATGATCCTTTCATTCATTCAGGTGGGAGATTTTTCATAAAAGCCAAGTAACACAGATCCAAAAAGCCTTTTATTATTCTATCTTGCTGGGTTCAGAAACATTTATCATGATACTTGATCATTCCACAAGCGGTTTCACTAAAATGTGGTCTGATGTGAAGTGCCTTGATGTGCACAGCTGAGTTGTTGGGGAACAGGGACAAGTTATGGTTAAAGTAATGATTAACATGATTTCTTGTGGTGATGTCTAATATGATTATTTTCTTAGTGATGCTCAGCAGAGGTGCTGCTTTGCAAAGGTTCGTTTTGCTCCTGCATGCACAGAAACAAGAAAGCTCCTGCCTCTTTCTGAGCCTGGTGGGGAAGTCCATCATCCTGAGCAAGACTGAGGGTTCAAGTGAAATGAGAAGTGTCTGAATCCTGACGTTTTGCAGCTTGGTTTCAGTTCTGCTGTTACAGTCAGCGTAGCACTGGGCAGCTGTGGCATTACAGCTATTGCTGTTTGATGAACTGGTGGAGGGAGAAGTTACTTCACAATGGCAACTATGACTAAACCTGTGATTTTTCCATCCCTTAGAAGACTGTCCTGAAGGACAAAGCCAGCAATTTAGCACTCAAGAGAGCAGTCTGCCTCCAAAGTCACCAAGTGTAAGAGAACCTTAGTGGGCTCTTTATAACAGCTGGGGTTTGTGATCTTTATTGTTCTTGTTAAGGATGGATTTACCAGGTTTGGGAAGCAGCTACTGCTTTTCCAAAACCGGAGCACTTTGTGCAAAATTCACTCTACAGAAAGGGTGAGCTCTGAACAGCAGAACACTTATGGTGGTTACGTCTCCATCTGTGTCTAGAAACTTCCAGTCACTTTCTGGCCTTCATCTCTGGGTATGGATGTTTTCCAGTTTAATTGCCCACGGTATTACTGTTGGTACAGGAAAGAGAATCCCAAATTTACAAATGGGACACAATAAAGACAGTAAAACTGTGTGAAACAGAGGTATTGCCACCCTGCACACCCAATAGTGGACAGCCCAGAGATGAACGGGCTGTACCTTATTCTGCTGGCCCGGGCAGAGGCAGGAAGCTGTATGCAGTGGACTGCTTTCCTGGAGGAGGGGTTTGGTAGTGAACAGCTCTTCGTGGTCATCTGACAGCAAAGGTTCCCATTTTCTCCTCCTTCAATTAAATGTAATATGTTTAATTGCACAAACAAGTCGTAGAGGAGAAATGACCGGGCTCCTTTGGGTGGTCTGCAGCCCTTCAGCCTGCAAGTACCTCAGCCTTGGAACCTTTGCAGAGCGGGTTTGCACTGCCTGTTGCTAACACTGACCTGACCTTCAGAGGGATTCAGTTCAGCCTTGTTTGGATTTTTTTCCAGTTCAAGAACTGTGTTTTAGCCAACGAGGAACTGGCAGAAAAGGAGCGGAGGAGGATGAAGGACTGCTTTGAGCGTTACCAAAGGTCTGGACTTTGCTAAGCAGGGCTTATTTAGACATACCCGTGTGACTTAGCTGATCAGCTTGTTGTATCTATCTTCCCTTTTCTGTCCATCCCCTGTCCGCAAGCTTGATTCATGGGGGGTATAAATTCGTTATAGATCTTATCTTTCGAGGCTCAGGCTTTTAGCTGAGCTGTTTGAGACTCCTGTTTTAGCACCACGGGTAGCCAAGGTAGCAGTGATCATGTTTGCTCCAGACCATGCAGATGGTTCCACAGCAGGAAGTGGAGGGTGTTCCAAAGAACTGCAGCTTTAATAACTTAGATTCCTCCCATGTGAGTAAACGTCTGACATTCACTGTGTGTCTGACAAGCTGCTGAAGTTCAAGACCAAGCTCCATGACTGTGAATGGGGGCAGATTTCCATCCTCCATCCTGTTCAGATGCTGTTGTTTGAAGGCCTGTTCTGCAAACACATAGTGTCTTCACTGATCACTGCTGTTCTGGAGCATGAGAGCAATGCAAAACCTTGTAAAACAGGGACCTTAGCGTTAGTTTTAGCTGGAGGTGTGCTCCTAATGACCGTTGGCAGCAGTACTATTATCAAAGGAAGGACTTTGTGTGGGATTTCTTGGCTTCCTCCACTGAACATCAGCACTACCCCACCCTCCGCGTAGTGTAAGAGCGTCTTCATCGGTTCAGACCAATTCTGTCTCTTTGCCTTTTGTGTGAGCAAACCCTCGCCCCGAGTCCCCCTCCTTCAGGTGCCACTTGCTGGCAGACACCCTCTTCTGCCACTGACCGCCCGGGTCTTGCTTTCAGGAAGAGAGCGCTGCGGCGGGCACCGAAGGGCCGGCACCGCGACGCCGACTGCGAGAAC